ATGGAGCAGTGCGTTATGTGACGCGACAAATTGTCACAGTCGGCGGTGTGCAATCACCGCTGTGCACATTATGCTTCCCGATATCGTGTGATACGACGTGACAAACCGAATAGGGAACCACTGGCAGCATGTGATACGACGTGACAAACCGTATAAGCACCACTACCAGCATGTGATACGACGTGACAGGCCGTATAAGCACCGCTGCGAGCATCTGATACGACGTGATCAAACCGTATAAGCACAACTGCCAGAATGTTATACGACGTGATACGGCTTCACAACCGAAATGGGAACCACTCTCAACCTGTGATACGACTTGACAACCGTACATGGAACCACTGGCAACATGTGATACGACTTGACAACCGTACAGGGAACCACTGTCAACATGTGATACGACTTGACAACCGCATAGGGAACCACTGTCAACATGTGATACGACCTGACAACCGTATAGGGAACCACTGTCAACATGTGATACGACCTGACAACCGTATAGGGAACCACTGTCAACATCTAATCCGACTTGACAACCGTATAGGGAACCACTGCCAACATGTGATACGACCTGACAACCGTATAGGGAACCACTGTCAACATGTGATACGACGTGACAACCGTATAGTGAACCACTGTCAACATCTGATACGACTTGACAACCGTATAGGGAACCACTGTCAACATGTGATACGACCTGCAAACCGTATAGGGAACCGGTGTTAACATCTGATACGACCTTGACATGACAACCGTATAGGGACCACTGTCAACATGTGATACGACTTGACAACCGTGATACAAGGACCTGTCAACACAACCGTATATAGGGAACCACTGTCAACATGTGATACGACTTGACAACCGTATAGGGAACCACTGTCAACATGTGATACCTGACAACCGTATAGGGAACCACTGTCAACATGTGATACGACCTGACAACCGTATAGGGAACCACTGGCAACATGACAACCGTGATACGACTTGACAACCATGTATAGGGAACCACTGTCAACATGTGATACGACTTGACAACCGTACGGAACCACTGGGAACCACTGTATCAACATGTGATACGACCTGACAACCGTATAGGGAACCACTGTCAACATGTGATACGACCTGACAACCGTATATAGGGAACCACTGTCAACATGTGATACGACTTGACAACCGTATAGGGAACCACTGTACAACAACCGTATAGGGAACCACTGCCAACCCGTGATACGACCTGACAACCGTATAGGGAACCACTGTCAACATGTGATACGACCTGACAACCGTACAGGGAACCACTGTCAACATGTGATACGACTTGACAACCGTATAGGGAACCACTGTCAACATGTGATACGACTTGACAACCGTATAGGGAACCACTGTCAACATGTGATACGACCTGACAACCGTATAGGGAACCACTGTCAACATCTGATACAACTTGACAACCGTATAGGGAACCACTGCCAACCCGTGTATGACAACCGTTATAGGGAACCACTGTCAACATGTGATACGACTTGACAACCGTACGAGGAACCACTGTAACATGGGATACGACCACGTATAGGGAACCACTGTCAACATGTGATACGACCTGACAACCATAGGGAACCACTGTCAACATGTGATACGACCTGACAACCGTATAGGGAACCACTGTCAACATGTGATACGACTTGACAACCGTATAGGGAACCACTGTCAACATGTGATACGACCTGACAACCGTATAGGGAACCACTGTCAACATGTGATACGACCTGACAACCGTATAGGGAACCACTGTCAACATGTGATACGACTTGACAACCGTATAGGGAACCACTGTCAACATGTGATACGACCTGACAACCGTATAGGAACCACTGGAACCGACTGTATAGGGAACCACAACATGTGATACGACCTGACAACCGTATAGGGAACCACTGTCAACATGTGATACGACTTGACAACCGTATAGGGAACCACTGTCAACATGTGATACGACCTGACAACCGTATAGGGAACCACTGTCAACATGTGATACGACCTGACAACCGTATAGGGAACCACTGTCAACATGTGATACGACCTGACAACCGTATAGGGAACCACTGTCAACATGTGATACGACCTGACAACCGTATAGGGAACCACTGTCAACATGTGATACGACCTGACAACCGTATAGGGAACCACTGTCAACATGTGATACGACCTGACAACCGTATAGGGAACCACTGTCAACATGTGATACGACCTGACAACCGTATAGGGAACCACTGTCAACATGTGATACGACCTGACAACCGTATATAGGGAACCACTGTCAACATGTGATACGACGACTGACAACCGTATAGGGAACCACTGTCAACATGTGATACGACCTGACAACCGTATAGGGAACCACTGTCAACATGTGATACGACCTGACAACCGTATAGGGAACCACTGTCAACACGTGATACGACCTGACAACCGTATAGGGAACCACTGTCAACATGTGACGACCTGACGACCTGACAACCGTATATGGGGAAGGGAACCACTGGGAACCACTGTCAACATGTGATACGACCTGACAACCGTATAGGGAACCACTGCCAACCAGTGATACGACCTGACAACCGTATAGGGAACCACTGGCAACATGTGAAACGACTTGAGAACCGCATAGGGAACCACTGGCAACATGTGATACGACTTGACAACCGTATAGGGAACCATTGTCAGCATGTGATACGACCTGACAACCGTATAGGGAACCACTGTCAACATGTGATACGACCTGACAACCGTATAGGGAACCACTGTCAACATGTGATACGACCTGACAACAGTATAGGGAACCACTGTCAACATGTGATACGACCTGACAACCGTATAGGGAACCACTGTCACTGTCAACCGTATGAACCACTGCCAACCAGTGATACGACCTGACAACCGTATAGGGAACCACTGTCAACATGTGAAACGACCTGACAACCGTATAGGGAACCACTGCCAACCAGTGATACGACCTGACAACCGTATAGGGAACCACTGTCAACATGTGAAACGACCTGACAACCGTATAGGGAACCACTGCCAACCCGTGATACGACCTGACAACCGTATAGGGAACCACATACATACCTTATAAGCACCACTGCCAACATGCGATATGACTTGTCATACCTTATAGGAAGTATCGACAGCATTTGAACGACTTGACATACTGTATAAGCACCATGGTATACCGTACTGTGCCCGGATGGTATACGATTTGACAAATCGTTTAAAAACAATGCCACCATGCGTTACGACGTGACAGTAACCTGAAGTATGTGATATATGATACGACGTGACACAGATTCATTAACAACGTTATATCACGTGAACCTCAACAGTTATATGATACAACATGACAGTCACCAGAGTGATATGTGATACGGCAAATATACACTAGTTATAAGAAACGACGTGACAGTCACCAGTTGCACCATACGACGAGACATATGGTCTCTAAAGATATATGCAGTCATATGGCATGTATTCCTCACTCCTATGGGGAAAGCTGCAAAACATGCATTCCCAATGGAGATACTGTTTCCATGTGTTGTAGAGATGTCCGGAGAGGGTTCCCAGCCATACATAGCAAGACATAGTTTTACAGCATTACTGAGGACGCTGGAACACTGTGACACGTTGTACGTGACTCTCATAAATTTGTTGGTGCATGTAGCGGTTTGCGACCTTCAAGCTGCGCGACAAGGCCGTCGCCGACAGCAAGCAGAGTATAATGTAGAACTTTATGAACTATGGACTGCACTGATGAGAATCTAATAGTGCAATACGTCATAACGGTAACACTGGCCATGACGGGATAGCTCTCATATCAGATACTGTATTGGACAAACAAGGCTGAGGTGACATTTGCGTCCAGTGATAAGCTGCGGGCGACGCGACATTTGACATTATATCTACATGAGGCATATCGGTCTCCCGTCGTACACGACTCTGTTCGGACGCAGCTGGTGCTGATTTGGCTGCGTCAGATAAATACGATTCATTGAAACTATAACTTCCGGGATGCCATTAGTGCACATTATTATTTGGCTACTTAACTATGCCTCACATTATTAAGGTTTGTGGTATCAAAATAACATACGATGATGATGATGATGATGATGATGATTAATGTACATTATTAGTTGGCTTGTTAACTGTCTTACATGATCGCAGCGTTGTGATGTAGCAAATTAACTAACGACGACAACGATGATGATGATGATGATGATGATGATGATGATGACGATGATAATGATTCCCGACCATCATAAGCTGGCTTATTTCACTGTCTTACATGATCAAGGCGTTATGATGAAGAATATTAACCAACGGCGATGATGATAAACATGAGTAAAATAATGGCAATAATAATAATAATACCCTCTCGATGTTTAGTAACACGTGTTCCCTACAAACCGATTTAGTCATATATGTGAACGTTGGGTGTATTCTGCACCTATAACGCAGATGTTATTAGACCAAATACTACAGTATATTGAAACAACATGTGTGCCCTCGGTACGAAAGCGGTAATTCACTATTTTTCACATATGGCGATAAATTACAACCGAATAGGCTTACACACAATGCCGATCGATGATTGATCTTCGAACTGTCTTAACATTTGTGCCGACAATCTGTTCCAGTTATGCAAATGGGGAATGACAGGAGAGAATGCGATGTCACAGCCTGGTTGTACGTCCCGATGGAGTCGTACGCCATCACACGCTGTGACAACATGACGCCTTCTTCACCAGCAGGCAGTCACGGCGATATGAGATGAGGTTACACACACGCGCGTCCCTGTATCCGATAAACATGACGAACAGGCACATACTCACCGCGACAGCGCTCCAACATCCACCAGACGACATTCATTAGATGGAGAGAAACTGCCACCAAGCTATCTATCTGTGTTGGCAACAGGCGTCAACAAGCAACACCCGACTCACCCACAAGCCTCGGTCCTGGGCCACGTGCTGTAATCCCGCTGACCCTACAATCCTGACACCTGTCCCACGTATATATATCCGCCTCCTTCGACTACAAGTGCACCAACGCTGTCGATCAGACCAAGGCGCTACGACAGACGAGCCTCCAGTGCTGGCGAGGTGGCAAGCAGATTGTTTCCTACACATGCGTCACATAGTAGGGTAGTAAAGCGGCCTGAATAAGCCCGGGTCTCCTTCAGCCGCTGTAACACGAGGAAGCTCTATCAACGGGGCACAATTAGTGGTACTTTAGCCTGAATGGAAGCCATTGAGTAAATCCTCGTAGTCCGTACGGAGTCAAATCAATATTTGCCATCGACCGCGCACACACTATCCACTACTTACCAAGCCCGATACCCTCCGCTCCCGTCAGCAATGGTAATGAAAGCAGTTTGTCTTTTCGCGGCAAAGCCTCACTCACTGTTGATTACACGTGAGCCTATGAGCCCTGATAAGCAACGTTACTGCCACGGCACGTAGGCACTATTAAAACACGATCAAGGCAGTAAGACGTTATACGACGGGCGGTAATCGCCGTATGGCAGGAAGGTAACGCTGGCGATCAGGATGACCCCAGATAGCCCAGCCCAGTAAAACGTGTAACACACTTCCGTGTGTTTACATGGTTGTGAATCAAAGCATAAGCCTGGGAGACGATCGCTGTTGCAGGAACTGAGATGGGCACTGTTGAGCCTTCTAGAACCGTCCACAGTCAGCTGAATGGAAATCCTATAAAGGTTGCTACAAGTGGAACCTATTAAGGGGCTTGGGTATGGCTGATCATTTTGCACCCTGGAGAACGCTGCTTGTGTTAAATACACTTCCTTCAATATGCTCGTCACTTCATGTCTATTACGAGCGGCTTGGGCTATCGCTTCGCCCGATCTCACTTGTCTAAATTGCAATATTGACAAGTGGAGTAACAGATAAATAAGGGTCCATCAACATAATGGAATCATGCTTGAGGTTGTTTCTCCAAGTAATAACACAAGCGACCTCTCAGCCTTAATGGCCATCCAGACTTTGATTTGATGTCTGGTCCGACGTCGCAATCGTTTTCCAAGTAGAAGGAACAGGTTTTGTCACCAGGATGGAATATACAATCATTATAAAAAGCTGTCAAGTTGAACTGACATACACAGACTCAACAAAATGTTTGCACAAACACCCATGCTTGACTACTTATCGCCAGCTCAGTTTAATTTACAGTTTAATACACTTCCAGTGTGACTTCCTGTCAACTGTGCACACAATTCAGTCATATATATTTGAGCAGGTGCACCCAATCTGAGGCTGATATAGAGAAATGTAAATCCATGGCGGAGATTGTTATTTAACTTACACTGCCTGGCATGTATTCCTCATGAAGAATATATCATCCCACCAATAGGTGCATCGACCTTAACTGTGCCTTCCTTGATCTGCCATTCAACATTCTGGTATTCACTTCAACGGGGGAGTTATCCCTTCAGTAGTCATCCCTTCAACTGGAACATATACTACCCATCAAAAGTTTAGATTCACTAGTGTTAATGTAGCCGCTTACTTCAGTCAACTGTTCTGAACTAGATTTTGCAAAATATTCCATGCTGTTTAAAGGTGCAGTTTATACATGAACTGATGTATTGTAAAACAAATTCATAACGTTGAAAAGATTATTGTTATGAGTTCAATAAATGATGAAACTCAGTGAAAGTTGGAGAATTCTTAACAAAACTTTACACCAAAACGCAGCTGTTCACATGCACGATATTTGCACAGGCTTTTCAGCAATTTGATGAATGAACCTCGTGCAATTCATCTGTATAAGGTTTGCAGTTGTTCCCCAAAGCTAATTGAGAAATTAATCTTCGATGTAACCACATATATATACATAACATATAGTGAGTGCTTTAAGTGAGTCTAAACTTTTGATGGGTAGTATATATTCAACAGGCGTGTCTTCCTTTCAACTGACGCATCCTCTTCAACAGGCGTGTTATCCTTTCAACTGGCGCATCTGCCTTCAACAGGCGTGTCATCCTTTCAACTGAAGCATCTGCCTTCAACAGGCGTGTCATCCTTTCAACTGACGCATCTGCCTTCAACAGGCGTGTCATCCTTTCAACTGATGCATCTGCCTTCAACAGGCGTGTCATCCTTTCAACTGGCGCATCTGCCTTCAACAGGCGTCCTTTCATACTGCCTTCAACTGACGCCTGCCTTCAACTTCAACAGGGCATGTCATCCTTTCAACTGACGCATCTGCCTTCAACAGGCGTGTCATCCTTTCAACTGGCGCATCTGCCTTCAACAGGCGTGTCAACCTTTCAACTGACGCATCTCCCTTCAACAGGCGTGTCATCCTTTCAACTGACGCATCTCCCTTCAACAGGCGTGTCATCCCTTCAACTGACGCATCTCCCTTCAACCTTTCGTGTCATCCTTTCAACTGGCGCATCATCCCTTCAACAGGCGTGCCTTCAACAGGCGTGTCATCCTTTCAACTGACGCATCTCCCTTCAACAGGCGTGTCATCCTTTCAACTGATGCATCTGCCTTCAACAGGCGTGTCATACTTTCAACTGACGCATCTCCCTTCAACAGGCGTGTCATCCTTTCAACTGACGCATCTCCCTTCAACAGGCGTGTCATCCTTTCAACTGACGCATCTCCATTCAACAGGCGTGTCATCCTTTCAACTGATGCATCTGCCTTCAACAGGCGTGTCATACTTTCAACTGACGCATCTGCCTTTCAAAGGCGTGTCATACGCATCTGCCTTCAACAGGCGTGTCATACTTTCAACTGACGCATCTGCCTTCAACAGGCGTGTCATCCTTTCAACTGACGCATCTCCATTCAACAGGCGTGTCATCCTTTCAACTGACGCATCTCCTTCAACAGGCGTGTCATCCTTTCAACTGATGCATCTGCCTTCAACAGGCGTGTCATACTTTCAAAACTGACGCATCTGCCTTCAGAAGGCGTGTCATACTTTCAACTAACGCATCCTCTTCAACAGGCGTGTCATCCTTTCAACTGACGCATCTCCATTCAACAGGCGTGTCATCCCTTTCAACTGACGCATCTGCCTTCAACAGGCGTGTCATCCTTTCAACTGACGCATCTCCTTCAACAGGCGTGTCATCCCTTCAACTGGCGCATCTGCCTTCAACAGGCGTGTCATCCTTTCAACTGACGCATCTCCCTTCACAGGCGTGTCATCCCTTCAACAGGCGTGTCATCCTTTCAACTGACGCATCTGCCTTCAACAGGCGTGTCATCCTTTCAACTGACGCATCCTCTTCAACAGGCGTGTCATCCTTTCAACTGACGCATCTCCATTCAACAGGCGTGTCATCCCTTCAACTGACGCATCTGCCTTCAACAGGCGTGTCATCCTTTCAACTGACGCATCTCCCTTCAACAGGCGTGTCATTCCTTTCAACTGGCGCATCTGCCTTCAACAGGCGTGTCATCCCTTCAACTGACGCATCTCCCTTCAACAGGCGTGTCATCCCTTCAACTGACGCATCTGCCTTCAACAGGCGTGTCATCCTTTCAACTGACGCATCTGCCTTCAACAGGCGTGTCATCCCTTCAACTGACGCATCCCCTTCAACAGGCGTGTCATCCTTTCAACTGACGCATCTCCCTTTCAACGGGTGTGTCATCGTTTTAACTGACGCATCTGCCTTCAACAGGCGTGTCATCCTTTCAACTGTTGCATCTGCCTTCAACAGGCGTGTCATCCCTTCACTTGGCGCATCTCCCTTCAACAGGCGTGTCACCCCTTCAACTGGCGCATCTGCTTTCAACAGGCGTGTCATCCTTTCAACTGACGCATCTCCCTTCAACAGGCGTGTCATCCTTTCAACTGACGCATCTGCCTTCAACAGGCGTGTCATCGTTTCAACTGACGCATCTGCATTCAACAGGCGTGTAATCCTTTCAACTGACGCATCTGCCTTCAACAGGCGTGTCATCCATTCAACTGACGCATCTGCCTTCAACAGGCGTGTCATCCTTTCAACGGGCACATCTGACTTCAACAGGCGTGCCATCCCTTCAACTGACGCGGGGGCGGTGGGGTAGCCTAGTGGTTAAAGCATTGGCTCGTCACGCCGAAGACCCGGGTTCGAATCCTCACATGGGTACAACAGGCGTGTCATCATTTCTGATGTTCCCCGCCGTGATGTAGCTGCATCTCCCTTCAACAGGCGTGTCATATTGCTAAAAGCGGCGTAAAACTCAGTCAGTCAGTCAACTGACGCGTCTGCCTTCAACAGGCGTATCATCCTTTCAACTGACGCATCCTCTTCAACAGGCGTGTTATTCCATCAACTGACGCATCTGCCTTCAACAGGCGTGTCATCCTTTCAACTGACCCATGAAGGTCCGGGTTAGAATGAACCTTCAGTAACCCATGCTTGTTGTAAGAGGCGACTAACAGGATCGGGTGGTCAGGCTCGCTGGCTTGGTTGACACATGTCATCGGTTCCCAATTGCGCAGGTCGATGCTCATGCTGCTGATCACTGGATTGTCTGGTCCAGACTCGATTATTTACAGACCGCCGCCATATAGCTGGAATATTGCTGAGTGCGGCGTAAAACTAAACTCACTCACTCCCTCACTCCTTTCAACTGACGCATGATCTTCAACGGGCATGTTATCCTTTCAACTGGCGCATCTCCCTTCAACAGGTGTGTTTTCCCTTCATCTGGCGCATAGTCTCTTCAGGAAGCTAGCCAAAACTGCTGCGGGTGTCGCACCACACTTATTTGTAATTAATCCGAGTGTTTTCTTCCACAGTAATGGTTTAAACGTTTTAATCTCACTAGGGCAATGCACAGTCGTGGTTTAAACTCACCAGGACGATGCACAATAATGGTTTAAAGAGACTAGGACGGTGCACAGTAATGGTTTAAACTCACCAGGGCGATACACAGAAATGGTTTAAAGATACCAGAGCGATGCACAGTCATGGTTTAAACAGACCAGGGCGATGCACAGTGATGGTTTAAACAGACCAGGGCGATACACAGTAATGTTTCAAACAGACCTGGGCGATGCACAGAAATGGTTTAAAGATACCAGAGCGATGCACAGTCATGGTTTGAACAGACCAGGGCGATGCACAGTAATGGTTTCAACAGACCAGAGCGATGCACAGTAATGTTTCAAACAGACCTGGGCGATGCACAGAAATGGTTTAAAGATACCAGAGCGATGCACAGTCATGGTTTGAACAGACCAGGGCAATGCACAGTGATGGTTTAAACAGACCAGGGCGATGCACAGTAATGGTTTAAACAGACCAG